CAGTTCCTCCCCTTCCTTTGGTTTCGTCAGTAGAGGTGGTGTTGTCATATATTCTTTTAGTTGTTGCAGGGCTTTTTCATGTTGTTCCGTCCACTCGAACTTCTTATTTTTTCTGAGAATGTCATAGAAAAGTCGGCACCTGTCTGACGACTTCGATATGAATATGTTGAGTGCTGCAACTCGTCTGGTCTGTTTCTGGACATCCTTGATTGATTTTAGACCTGCACAAAAGCGGGCTCGGGCCGGGCTCGGGCCGGGCTCGGGCCGGGCTCGGGCCGGGCTTTTCATAAGTTTTCTGCCCATCATGTGTGGGCGGGCCCGGCCGGGCCCGCAAAAACGGGCCTAACTCCATGTCCATACCCGCCCGTAAAAGCGGGCCGGGAAGTCCACCGGGCCGCCGGGCCCGGTAAAACTTTAACTTTTTCAAAATTATACGGAGTATAATTTATTTAATACTTTATAAATAATATTACAACATTTAAAAAATTGCTAATATGCTTATAATGTATATAGGCCTTTCATCACATACACAAAAAATATTTACACAAAAATAATAATGAGAAACTCTATCTAAAATTTAAAATTCAAGCACAAAGTATTATCTTTAAGTACAAAAATAGATATTATATTGGTTGGACTATTTGTTAAGAACTAAAAACTTAAATTTAAACATAATTAACTATAAATATGTATACAGATAAATTAGTAAATATAAAAATATACAAGTGTACATGTAAATATATAAATGTAGCGGGCCGGGCTTATCGGCCCGAACGGGCCTACACCCTAACCCAAGCCCGCCCATATGTTGTTGCGGGCCGGGCCCGGGCCGGGCCGGTGGGTAAATATATATGCCCAAGCCCGCTTATTTGTGCGGGCGGGCTCGGCGGGCCGGGCGGGCCGGCCCGGTTTTGCACAGGTGTAATTGATTTGGGGGATTTTATGTCTAATATGGCTCGGACTTGTCCTGGACTCGCTTCAATCCCCCTTTCGCTGACAATGTAGCCTAAGAATTCTCCTGACGACACCCCGAACGTGCACTTGGCAGGATTAATCTTCAAATTGTATTCTTGCAACTTCTGGAAAGACTTCTGCAGGTGATCGATGTGGTCCGTTGCCTTTTTGGATTTGACTAGCATGTCGTCAATATATACCTCCATGGTTTTCCCCAGTTGGTCTTTGAAGATCATGGTGACCAATCTTTGGAAAGTGGCACCTGCATTTTTTAAACCGAAGGGCATGACAACATAGCAATATGTACCTGTCTCGGTGATGTATGCGGTCTTCTCTTGGTCCTCCAAGTGTAATTGTATTTTATGGTAACCGCTGAAAGCGTCCATGAATGTCAACATTTCGTGTCCTGCTGTGGCATCTGCGAGGACGTCAATGTGCGGCATCGGGAATGAGTCTTTCGGGCATGCCTTGTTCAAATCAGTGAAGTCGACGCACACCCTCCAGTTAGGCTTTTTGCCCTTTTGATGGCCCTTTTTCTTCTGCAATACAACAACGTTAGCAAGCCAATTAGGATAATTTACCTCGCGGATTTTACCGGTGCGTAGTAGTGTCTCCACTTCTTGATTGATGATATTGTTCCTTTCCCTACCGAAACGTCGTCCTTTCTGCTTGACAGGTTTATGTGCAGGGTTGACATTCAGTTTATGAGTGATCACTTGCGGATCAATTCCTGTCATGTCATCGTGGCTCCAGGCGAAGACGTCTTTATGCTCTTTCAGAAAAACAACAAGGTCTTCGTCTAGCTGAGTTGACATGTTGCCCCCAATGCGGACGACTCTATCCGGATGATCCGGGTCGATGATGATGTCTTTTGTGTTGCTGTCATCTTCCCCAACCGGAATGAAGTCGCCCTTTAATTGCTATGCCGAAGTTATCGTAGAGGCAGATGGCTTCATCGCTGTTTGGTAGCATGATTTAGCAGCTGCCCTGTCGCATTGGATGGATTGCACTCCCCACGGTGTTGGAACTTTGACAACCTGATGATATGTTGACGGAATCGCCCCCATTTGATGTAGCCAAGGCGTCCCCAATATCATGTTGTAGGCGGGTAGATCTTGGACTACATCGAATTTTACCTGCAAGTTAAGACCAACAGCATGTACAGGTAAAGAAATGTTACCTATTGTCTGGCTTGGTTCGCCATTGAATCCGACAAGGGTGGAGCCAGAGGTAGCCAAGTCTTCTTCTTTGTATCCCATCTGTTTTAGTGTCTTCAATGTTGTGATGTTGGCTGTGCTGCCGTTGTCAACCAAGACTCGCCTCACCTCACAGTTCGCCACCCTAAGAGCGATGACTAAGGTGTCATGATGGGCATTGCCTGAGTTTGTCAGATCCGTTTCATCGAACGTGATAGGTGCACCTGTGACGACTTGTCTCGGGAATACTCCCGAGCTTGTCTCTTCGCTGCAGAGTAGGTTAGTCCACATAAATCTGAACCACCATTAATGAAATTAATTACCTTTTGGGGGATGTAGGCGAGGGAGGTCGTCTTTGACCCTCAGACGACTTCTGATTCCTATGCAACATGGATTTGGTTTGTTCTGTCATGATTTCCGTCAAGTACCCGTTTCTTAGTTGGTAGGCAACTTCTTTCCGCAAGGCGACGCAATCTTTCGTGTTATGCCAGATGTCATCATGGAATTCGCACCTTTTGGTAGGGTCCCGACGTCCGCTGGGTTTCGCAGACTTCCTGGGCCAATTCACCTTTTCCCCCCAATTTGTCTAGAGAGTTGATTAGTCCCAAAGTGTCGACGTTAAAGCAGTACTCCAAAATGGGCGGAGGCAGATTCGGGTCGTCGAGCCAACCAGTGTTTGTTGCTACCGGACAGTCTTCATTCCTTGCATAGGGTTTCTCAGTGCAGTAATCATGCTTTCTGGATGTGCTGGCTTTCCTCTGTCCACCCTCATATTCGTTTGGTCTGTGACGAGAACGCAAATCCTCCTCAAGCCTGATGAAAGCCAATGTTTTGGCCTGGACATCCTCAAAGGTTTTGCAAGGGTACTTGGTCAACTCCCGATACAACTCGGAGTCTTCTAGAAATCCTCTTCTAAAAGCTTCTACTGCCGTCGACATGTCGCATCGAGGGATGGACACTTTCTCCTTGTTGAAGCGGTGCAAGTAGTCTCGTAGGGATTCGTCTTCTCTTTGGGCCACCCGATAAAGGTCGCTGGCCTGCTTCTCTAGTGTTTGACTACTTGTGAATTGCTGATTGAACAAATTCACCAATTCGGCAAATGAATGGATGCCTTCGTTCGATAAATTGACGAACCATGTCAATGCTGGTCCGGTCAATGTTGTTCCAAAGGCCCGGCACATGCAGGCTTCCCGCTGATCAGGTCTGACTGAAACGGCCAACATCCGTTGTTTGTATTGTGCAACATGTTCCACCGGATCGGACGTTCCGTCAAACAGCCTCATAGTAGGTGCAGCAAATTTCCTTGGAAGTTCGACATTGGTAATATGTCGTCCAAACGGGGAATCAGCATAGCATGTCTGCGAGGCCACATCTAGTGGTGGTGGGACCCGGGTATGCCATTGATTTTTTCCCGCATCTCCCTCATCTCCTCCATGAGGGCGGTCATAGAAGTTGCCAAGTTCATATGCATTGGCGGAACTGCCGCTTCGGGCGGTGTTGCCGCTTGAACCACTACCTGTCTGGCTGGTGATGGTGTGTCTATGACCACACGCTCTTGGGGTCTCTGATTTGTGATGTCGACATGTCTGGGTATATCGACACGGCCAGGAGCTTGCTGTCTCTGGGGCTCTGCGAACAGGTTGCGGAATACATTTCTCCTGGGTTTTGCAAATGAGATAGGACGAACTGATGGTCCAGCCCCTCCTGACGCACCAACTTCAGTATGGGGGACGAAAGGTACCATTGGTGCTGGCACGGTGATAGGAATCGGCATTTGCTGGTTGAGAGTCTGTAAACCCGATGTCGTCGTCCTGGCTCGCAGCAAATCAGTAGACCTGCACAAAAGCGGGTTCGGGCCGGGCTCGGGCCAGGCTTTTCATATGTTTTTTGCCCATCATGTGTGGGCGGGCCCGGCCCGGCCCGCAAAAATGGGCCTAATGTGACACCGCACCCGAACGTCCTTGAAAATTCAATTTAAATTTCAAGCTTATGTATTGAATTTCCGAGCAATTGTAAAACGATTAATGTTTACGTAGTGCATGATTGAATATCGTACTGTTCAAACTCGTATATTAGTGTCGGGTTTTGCAAATACTTATTCGGGCCTTATTAATGAACATAAGAGCCCAAAATTCCTAAATAGTGTTACGTGATCTTTCAAGACAAGTCGAGGAAGGTCGGGCGGCCCAAACATTATTTTGGGCCCAACCCGCTAAAAATAGCAAGTATTCGAGAATGGCGTTCTAGACCCACTCGGGAGTGACCCACACGGCTAGTAGCCCTATAACATGTATGACAAATGTCAAAAAGTGATAGAATAATTAAAGAAGAATACAAATGCCTATAACCCCATCTTTGGCATTATTGAGCTAAATAATGGGAGTAGGATTTTCCTGCTATGATATCCATCAAGTAAATTATTGTGATGAACCTACACATATGGGAGATCAATAATGTGATGAAGGAAGTTGACTTGTTCTAAATAAATTAGGATGAGTACAAAAAGACATCTTTGACAAAAGATAAAACTATAGGACCCATCTTCCCATTTTTGGAAGTATTGATAGATATTTTGGACTCCAAAATGATTGGGATCAATTGGGAACCACTCCACATGATATCAGTACCTACAAGACAAAGAAAAATGGGTGAGACAACTATGTGGGGCGGACTTTTTGACTCATGAGCTACAACATTACAAAAAAGAAATTAAAGAGGAAGTCCACACCATGTTTGATTGCAATCAAATACCCTACTCTTCTTTTTGTGAACCACATGCTCTCTTAGCATGATTGAGGCCTCCTAATACACTCCCCCTACACCCCATTCGAACCCCCAAAGAGATAAGAGAGCAAAGGGAGTCCACACAACTCAAGAGAGAGGGAAGGAAGAGGGCTGTCCGCAGGTAGTTTTTCCAGTGCGTAAGGTTACTTGTTTGCTTCATATCTCGGGTTATACACATCCAAATAAGGCGTGCGAGATACCAGCAGAAAGCTATCAAGACGAGGAATCCGTGAAGGTCTGTTTTGAATCAATCGGAGTAGTGGAAGGCTTCCAAATCGTCCTAGCAAAACACAACCTCGCGGAATACGTTTTTGTATTCAAAGTAAGTTTGAATCCAAAACCTTCCTCTCTATTGTCTAAATCATATAAATGATTGAAGAACTATTATACACTGATTGAAGTGTATAAAATGTTATTATAAAGTGACTTAATTGTTGGAAAGGTTAGATACTAACCTAAACAAAACCTTGAAAGGTTAGGGAACGAATTCGTCGGGAAACACCCATTCTAGGGACTGTTTTTGTGTCTTCGGTTAGGAGTTGAACTAGCACTTTGAGGGGGCTGTTTAACACTCAATTCCAAGCAAGGAATCAGTTCTCAAACCTTCTTGGCCGAGGCTTTGGTCGTTGGATCGAGAAGGAAGGTTTTAAAGCTCATTTGAGGTGAGGACCGACATCTAGTTGCTTACAACTTGTAGGTTATGCATGAGATTACCTAAATGCTTAAATCATGTTTTTGTGAATAAATATGCTTGAACATGATATGAATGATAAGTAATGGACTTGATCATGAACTGAAACCATATTGATGAATATGGAGTCATGTGAGATAGAAGTATGCTAATATGGTAAATTGACTTTTCCAACTCATGTATGAATGTTATGTGTATGTAAATGTATAATTGCATGATGATGCTTAACACATGGGAGGCTGCCACATATCTATTGATATGGAGGGGCTACCATTAATGATAAATGAGTTGTAGGAATAATCTTAATAGTATTGTGATGCTAGTTAAGGATTGCCCTAAATGTGTTAGAATCAAACTCAAGGTTTGAGTTTGTTTGTGATGAACTTGAATGAGATTCAAGTGTCAATTGTGAAATCATGGAGTAGGAGATCTATGGTGTGATATTATGAAGTAGGAGATCTATGGGGTGATTTTATGAAAAAACAGAGTATATTTACTCCACCCAGTATTCTACAGAGTATGATATACATATAATAAGCACTATAATGGGCTTGTAACCCGCCATGTGAATGGATTCTCAACCAGAGAGTTATCATTAGCAATCAATTATTCAAGCCTACACTGATCAGTTGATGAAAACATCTTTTCCCATTTTTTAATTAGAAAAATAGAAAAAAACTTAATAGAACTGAAAAAATCCAACTAACTGCTATGTCTAAATTATTTAATCTTTGTATACCCTAACCTCAATATACGTGAAATTCCAAAGTGTTGTTATGAAACTGAATAAAAATATACTAGCACATACCTATAAGTCAATGAGCATCCCGACTCCTATTTGGATCCATGACTCAGATAAATTTTTGAGATAACATTTATGAACTAACAAGTGTGCTAAGGATATAATAGGATTACTATCACAGAGCCTTGAAACATCTATAACATATGTCAAACTTGATAAATCATCACACATATATGTATTTTAATCATGAATCCATAGTTAAATATGTAATAGCATATTCTGAAATTTGTCTACTGGATGGTCTTAAAGCTGTTCATCCGTGCTTGGGGAAGATGTAAAGGATACGAACTAAGGATGAACAAGCATAGTGTACAGGCTGGTCTGAAAGCTGGCAAATGAAATCTTATGGCCCGTCATTGTTAACTCCAAAATTAACAATGATCAATTAAACTTAACTGAGGTATATTCCATAGAAAATCTAAAATCTAAAATATGAGGAACCGAGGGGATGAGTTGATGAGAAAAACAGGAAACCTGAAGCTAAGACTGAACACTGATGATCTAGTCGGGCGATGAGAGGCAAGCCGACTGCTAGAACTGCTGATTCATCAGAGACGAACGGAATTGGTACCGCTCACCGAGGCTGAGAACTCTTCCGCGGCTCATCCATATGGGTTTCGAAATATGCTAGAATCGAGGATCATCGGTAATTCTACTTCAGAATCATTATGCGCGCCGAGCAATATCATTGTTGAAATTGCAGAAAGAAATCACGACATCTGATTTTGCTAGAGAAGGATCGATTTGGAAAAGGAGATTTGGCTTCTGCTACGATTCAGTTGAGAGAAGGATTCATTTGGAAAAGCAATTTTCCTTTGTTTTTTTGTTTTGGGCCCTATTTTCACTGCTGCAGCTCAAATATGGAGTAATTTGTGGGCTGGTTTCGGCTCCAAATTTTTTGGTCGCTATTTTATACGTCCCCCACTAGAGAGGATGGGACACAATTGGTACTCCTCCGTATTAAATAAAAGCATTATAAAAAGTTTTTGCATCCAACATTTTATATAAGGGGACACATAAAATTGTTTCATTTTTACAAAAGGTTTTATGAGTCGCATACTATGTAAAAAAGCGACTGGTAAACTTTATACATCGCATTATATGCACGGCGACTCGTTAGGGGCGATTTCTTAAGGTGTTTATGTAGTAGTGTATTTATGTAGTTCTTTAATTTGGTTTGCAGAAAAAACATAAAGATGATGAAGATACTTAATGTTAGAGCCGTATAATAACTACAGTATTATTACGTACGGACTACTAGCTACATAGTCTATATGTAATAACGTATTAACAGTCCATTATTTTTTCTAATTTTGTTACATTTTTAAAGATGTATATGTATTTGATACGTGCTAAGGCAAGAAGTATTGATAGTTACCGGAGGAAATTTCATCATGGCATGCATTGATGCATATACGACTTTGGTAGTTTGGTAAGAGTGTCTTTACCTATTATCATATGTAGCAAGTGTGATTAATGCATTTCCTCATCTGATAAAAATAGCAACACCTTTACCTATTTCAGAGAATTATGAGGTACGGTAGTCTGTAGCTTTTAAAACCTCTAGCAAAGAGTTTATTTCTAAATTAATGAAGGTCATGATTGCTAGCTTTGGATGTGAGGATAGTTTTAAAATAGGAGCTTGGATGGTGATGCATGTATATGGCACTAATAATGAAGCTAATTAATGATGAATAAGTATGGGAGAAGAGATGGGATCTAAGAGTTGGCAAATATAGTACTCCCTCCGTCTCTTAAAACTTTGTGATCTTTCCTTTTTGGGATGTCCCCAAAAACTTTGCTACATTTCCATTTAATCAATTATTTTGTGGTTTTTGTTATTTCTCTCTCCTCTGCACAAACATCAATCACACAATTTTTATTTATATTCTTCGTGCCGACCAACTTTGACAAAGTTTTAAGGCACGGAGGTAGTATTTCATTAAAATAACGTAACATGCATCATATTGAGTGTTGCAAAAGCATCCTAACGGGATAAGCTAGGGTACTTTTTTAAGGATATTTTAAGGATATTTTTTAAGGATATTTTTAAGGAAAAATAGATAGGAATAATCCAAATTATGAGTAACTCGCTTTAAATAATCTAAAGTAACAATGTTCTTAAAATAATTTCAACTAATTGAAATTGAATTTTTATGATGTGATCATTTCAAATATGAGTGATCTGTTAAAGTCTGTTTCGGTCTAATCTGATAATACACTATGTATGAGTAGTTTACTATGTACTCCGTATTAAATACCATGCGATGACATAAGAACATATTCAATGCAAATGTGTCAGTAGTGCAAGCATATTAGGCTCGATATACACACACAATTTCAATTCATTAATGTGTCATTTAATTTGTGTGTAATACTACAAGTGTGAACTTTAGACTTATTTGAATTTCTTATCAAACGGCTCTAAGTCGGGTCTGAGTCTAAACTCAATCTATTAAAAGATCTAAGCACCCCATGAGGCCATGACCCACTTTAATTAGATCATCCAATGATATGGAAACAAACGTGTTCGTACATGGGAATAGAACATGGTGACATGGTGACATGGGTGGGTAAATGTTAAATAGAGAACAAAAGGTTTTGATGGAAAAAGCATAGATGTCTAGTAATTACAAGTATATGAAGATGCATTCTTTTTTAATTGTAATAATTTGATAATTTGATTTTTACGTTTGTTAATATTTAATTTTAACTGTAATTATATTTCATTTACGTACTAATAATAAACATTATAAAGTCTTACGAATTGTCTCTTCATTTTTATGTGTTTGTTTCTTTCATTTTTCTTTTGTGTAAGTTTCTTCATTGGTGACGTACGTTCCCCTCCCATTATGATTTGTATCTTATGAGTTTTTTTTTGCTTTCATTTCTTTTAGTTTGTAAGTTTCTTCATTGATCTCTCTTGTCAAACGAATCAAATAATATTTCAAGTTATAAATCAAATGCGCACGATCGGAATTGTCTAGTGATACAAGTCATAAAAAATATTATCAGTACAAATTAGGAAATTCACTTATAATTTGACTTTTATGAAATAAAGATTCGTGTTAAGTACTTAATTAAGTTTAATAAATAAATACATATAATAAAAAAGAGAGTACGTATATTGAATGGAGGATATGATTTATTCTAGTCTGTTTAAGTATGGTCAGATGTGATCTAAATTGATCTCATACATGTCTGATTATGTGTATTTTATAATTGTCGAAGTCTAGTAAACCGATCTAGTCTAACAATGGCAAGTGTTGTCCAGTCAAGTGGTCATTTTAAATCTAGTCTGGTGACTGAGATTAGTACTTTACGACCTACTAAAAACATCACACAGAGAAATGAGTTTGGAAATATTCACATGATCAATAAGCTAATTAATTAATTGAGGTCGGGTCCGCCACGTATAGTAGTACGTATCCATATATGTTAATTACGTAGTACGTAGTATCTTTTTCTTCATCTATAAAACACCTTCCAGTGGAAGGCTTCAATTCTACCTTATACAAACGGCACTCCACAATACAAATCTTTTTCTTCAAGCCTTATATAAATCTTCTCGTGCTTTAGGTCTTTCTTCATCTTTTTCTTCACTGCACTCCACAAATCACTACCTCTTTTTGCACTAGTTTTACAACTCCTTTGAATCTCTTCACAGTCCTTTCCTTCAAGGCTTGAACGCCCTTAGCTTATAATGGACTTTTGTCTCAGAATGCTTTTAGTCATCACACTGATCACATCCATAGCCTTGACAAAAGAGAGTAAGCATATATCTTATTTTTGCTAATTCTTTTTCTTATTGTTTACTTACTTATAAGATATAATTGGTATATATTTAACGTTCTTAACACACATCTACTTCTTTTTAAATTAGTGAGTGCAGAGAGGCTACTACAAGCTCATGACCCATTATCATCACTTGCAAATGACAATAATAATGGTTAGTAGTGTTAATATTAATTAATTAATTATTCAAATTGGTGGGTTGAAATAAATCCCATTTGGTGTATTGCGATAACTTGAGCACTTTGTATAGGTTATTCTGAAATCTCCACCGGTCCTTTCTCCCCAAGGGTAATTATAATTACATCGTGCCTTTTTTGCTTGGTAAATTTGGTGTAGGCTTGAGGAAAAAAGAAGATCTAGCTTTTAACTTATTATTTTTATGGTTTATCTACTTTTTAAAAAATTGTGCAGGTTAGTATGGAGGCGAGTTGCAACATCAACATCGTCTTCAACCTACTGATCGACTGTGTTCCGTTCTTCTCGGGGACATCTTCCATTCCAGCAGTGACATGTTGCTCTGGAGTTGAAGTCGCAATCAAAACAGAAGTGGAGTGCTTTTGTGATGGCCTCACTGATCTCTTGACTCATTCTGGATTGGTGCTTAATGTCTCCCGGGGACTTGATCTCCTCAACGCATGTTTCAGTCCTATTTCATACTCAATCATCTCCAACTGTGGTAAGTTTATTATTAATATATATTACTGCTAGCTTGTACAAAGTTCCTCAATTTAACTCCTTATTGAACTTTCACGGCCTCCGATTTCCACATTTGAGCTTTGGTCTACCGTCTACACTTGTGAAATTATTTTCGTATTATAACATTGTTAAATTCAACCGTTATAATAAACTTATAATACCAAAATAATTTCATAATTATACATTTTTTGGATAATTAATGGTCAAATTTAACAAAGTTTAACCTAAAATAACTTAAATGTGGAACGATGGGAGTATAATATTGTTACATTACTCAGTAATTCCTATCATTTATTATATAAACAGATCGAAAAATATTAAAATAAGTATAAACTAAGTATATAATAAAATCGTTCATCAGTGCATGCATGGCATTATAAACCTAACAAGTTTTGTTTTGAAACCTGATTAATTGTAGTGAGCCCCACACCTCCTGCTCCTGTTCATCATACCCCTGGTAAGATATTAACTACGTAGTAATTATTTCTCTGGTTTCCATTCGAAACATAAATTAAGAAAAGTTTACAATCGATCATTATGACTTTGATTATGACTTCCGCCTTTATAAAATTACAGTGGTTCCAACTCCGACTCCCAGTCCTATTACTCCTCCTCCTACTCATGGTAAGACACTTCATATTGTAACTATTTTTAATGCTATAGTCAATTTCTTATTGATTTCTTTAATTGTGGGATATATTATTGTTTCACTCCCTATCATTTATTACTATGTCTATAAAAAGAAATTAAAGTGCATTAGTGCATCGAAAGCCTGACACGTTTTATTTTGGGAAACCTTATTTAATTTCAGTGAGCCCCCCACCTCCTACTCCTATCCATCCTTCCCCTGGTAAGACATTAACTACCTAGTATGGAGTAATTATTACTCTTTTCAACTTTCCATTGGAATAAACATAAAGTGTAGTTTACATACTTTATGACTTTGACTACGATTTCCTCCCTTTTTTAAAATTACAGTGGGCCCAACTCCGACTCCCAGTCCAATAGCTCCTCCTCCCACTTGATATAATAATTAATTAAGGTTAGTGATGGTTAGTTACGTACGTAGTATTTCATATTATTACACCGACCTACGAATCATCGTTTATATGTTAACGCGTAGGGTTTGTAATTTTGTATTCTGAGAATTTCTAAACGTTCAAGTACGTATTCTAGAACTACGGAGTATATAGATAGTATATAGCTCCATAATAATTACATAGGAAAAATATTACTCCTCCATCCCAATTTGATGGTCTCATTTCTTTTGGGCACAAACTTTAATAAAGTGGTTGAAAAGGTAAAAGTTGTGATTGAGATTTGAGTAGAAAAAGGTGAAATGATGTGAATCATATCTTTCTTTCCAAAAAGGGAAACATGATCATCATTTTGGGACATCCCAAAAAGGAAATACAGGACCATCATTTTGGGACGGAGGGAGTATCATTAAGCATGTAACTTATCACTTATCAGCACAGGAAAAAGTGTTCATAAGTTCTTTAAAAACAAGTTACTTATTATAAAAAATTCCATTTACGTATTGATTCAATATATAAATTAACGAAACATGCGTAGCTGTGAACGGTGAACCTTTAATGATAATTGGTATTGATAAATGAAAATTACTTTTGAATTCAGGTGATGCTAGCTTGGTCAATCCAACTTTTGTAACGGCTGACAATGGAGCAGGTAATATATACTACCTCGGTTCTTCTTTTCTTTAATTGCAATATTGGACCTTTTGCACTATTCACATATTCAACTTTGACTTTATTTTATTTACTAATGTATTATAAATTAAATTTTTTTAAAAAATAATACTTGGTAGTTACACTCTTCTCATTTCAAAATTTCAAAATCTGAATTTTTTAATTTTTTTACTAATAAGAAATACGGAGTATAATATATAAAAGGTCAAACTTGTGTGTTGACAAACGTGAAAAGTGAAATATTGCAATTAAAAAAGAACAGAGAAAGTATGTGTATATGTATACGATCAATTAAGTTGATCGAACAAGTTTAATTAGTTTAAATAGTTTAATTAGTGTTTTTTAAATAGTTTAATTAGTCTTATACTCCCTCCGCCCCCCTTATATTGTCTCGTTTTACCTTTTCGGGAAGTCCCACTAAAATTATCCCATATCATATTTGGTAAAGTTTGTGTAGTTCTAAATCATTCTTACTTTATCAATTAATATCAACCACACAAACTCATTTTTTTTAATAATTGTGTCACCCTTTTCAGTCTCAATATAAAAGGGACGGAGGTAGTACCATTATTGTACACACTATATATTTAACATTTGAATTCAATGTACGTAGTTTGCTTGGGGGGAAATAAGGCAGCTTACTATTACGCCCCAGGATTCGGCAAAGGCGCTGAAAATTGGGTTGTGTATCTTCCTGTAAGCTAACTAGCTACCATTGTTTAATATATACTTCCTTCTCTTTATTTTTGGGCTTTAAGCATCACTCTATTTATTCATAATTATTACTGAAACTAATTGATGATGTCATATTTATGCTGCTGTGTAAATAATCAATTAAATTCTAGGGGGGCGGATGGTGTAACAATGTTACTGCCTGCGAAATATATACTGATACTAAAGGTGTGGGCTTGTCTCCAAGAGCAATTCCCTTTACTGCTATTTTGGATTCTGATAAGGAGAAAAATCCTGGTAAATATTTTGAAACTAAGTCATCTAACCCCATGTAAATTATATAAATATTTTCTCTTTTATGTATATTATCTATCATATTCTTCCTCTGATGAGGAGTTGTATTTTTTTTTAAACCGTGCAGATTTCTATGATTGGAATAGAGTTTCTATTCGGTATTGTGATGCATCGTCATTCACCGGAAATTCTGAGATAACAACCCCACATGTACGATATAATATATACGAATTCAAATAATATATACTCTGTACTTCGTATATACGAAGTATTAAGACAGCTCTTACATTACTTTACTCCTACACTTAGAATTACAACCAAAACGTACAGGAACGTCTTAATTACCGTTTTGGAGGCTAAGTAAAGTTGGCCATACATAAATATTGCCTCATTCTCAAATAGATTTAAAATGTTGAATTTTACACTATTTACAAGGTGTACTTTGACTACATTTAATTTATTAATGAATTAGAAATTGTGTTTTTGAAAAGTGTTGTTAACTAAGTCTTACTTAAAATTTGAAAACCTGAATTTCTTAATTTTTTTACTACTAAGGAAAGAAATATATTAATGAACAAAGTTGGGTTTTAGCTTTAGCTACACAATACGTACATTAAAATAGATATATACGTAGTATATTTGTTAAACACTTAAACTATATATCTTGCAGGGTACTAAGCTTTTCTTTAGAGGAGGAAGAATTTTTAGTGCTGTTATGCAAGAGCTGTTGCAAAAAGGAATGGGAAATGCGAAGAATGTATGCATTTACTTTTTATATCGGATATAAATATAAATATAGTGCTAAACATGATTACTACGTTACATCATAATTGGTATAGTATTACTTATCTATAGTACTTCGTATATATTTGAAGATTCTTTTGGCATACATATAGCTACCTTTAATCCCCTTATTTTCTTTCTTTTCCTTTAAATAATTATTATTATCCTGTATTATTTAATATCTTATGTATGTTTAGTTATGTTTTGGCACAATACTGAATTATTAGTACCAAGTATATGTGCATACTGGAAAGGATGTGTGTTGTATGAGATCCAATATCTGTGTTATGATGAATAAAGGAAATTTCCAATTTCTGCAAAAAAAAAACATATAGCTACCTTTGTTGATCAAGTATATATATTTATGTACATTACTCTTCGATTAGTATGCCTATTTTTATTATATTGTTTATTTGTGTGTATGGGATGTGAAAGTACTTTAATTTGTAATCTACAAACAACTTTGTGCTTATTTTGCTAAAAAAAATTGTAGGCACTTTTGGTTGGTGGATCAGCTGGGGGAGTCGCAACAACCATATACTGTGATAGATTTCGAAATTTCTTCCCATCCAATTCTAGAGTAAAGTGCTTATGTGATGGAGGTTATTTTTTCCTGGCGTAAGTTTGTTACACTTTTAGTATTAAATGTTATGATAAATTGTCCTAATAAATTTAATGAATTTGAAATATTCTTATAAATCCCTAACACGTGTATCATTTTTAACAGGAAAAACCATATTCAAGGAAATACATTCCTATCAATGTTTGAGGGCTTAATAAATTTACATGTATTCTTCCTGAATCTTATCCTCTACGCTCTAGCTATACCACACATACAGTATTATATGCATTATATTCTTATTGTGTGATTTCATTTTGTTTTATTTGTTTCTACGTAGTACACTCACATTGGGAAAAAATCATTTTAAAAGTGTGTCTTCGCTTGAAATTTGCGAGTATTAACCAATAGAACTTGTAAGCTAAAGTAACTGACAAAAAATACATTATAACTTATAACTCAACGATCAATAAAAAAAATTAATTATAGCTTTCTAGTGATAAACTACGGAAGTACTACGTAATTACGTATGCAACAAGTATAAAACTCGGATGATGATAACTAGTAGCACTTGATACAATGTATGAGTTTTATGTTTATTGATCCATAATTGCATTCAACGCATTTGTTTTCGGATTTACTATTAATTCGTTAAATTGAACTTATAAAGTCAAATATATAACTTTCATCAAAAGTACGTATAGGTTGATAAATTAAGTAATTAAAAGACAAACATGTGACTACCATGAAACCAAAGAATAACACTTGATATCATATACTACCTCTGTTCTTTTTTAATCACAACATTGAACTTTTTGCACTATTCACATATTCTACTTTGACTATATTTTATTTATTAATATTTTATAAATTAAATTTTTAAAAAGTAATGTGAAATTCTTTTCATTCTAAATTTTCAAAATATGATTTTTTTTAATTTTTTACTACTAAGGAATCAAAGATATTAATGATCAAACTTGTGCGTTGGCAAACGTGAAATGTTGACTGTTGCAATTCAAAGAGAACGGATGAAGTATTTTGTATTTTTAGTGAGTCGTTAATGTATTTAAAACACTTTTTTTCTAATGGACTATTAGTTAGTTAAATGTAACTTGTATAGCCATACATATTGTTTTCATCTTCGCTTCATAAAATTTATACCCCTTTTAATTGGTTTCAGAGATCTGAAGATATGCTGCCCAAATCTTGCACTACAAGACTAAGTGCACCGATGGTAAGTATCCAAATTAAAGAAAGAATTAAGTACTTAATTGATATTTTCTCATCTCTTCTAGATTAACTCCCTCTATCATATTTCATGATGGACCGCTCTTATGTATTGGATACCATATAAAGTTATACTCCGTTCAACGTAATATTGCAAGGAAAATTGGAGTAAGAGAAATAATAATATTTTTAAAATTTTGCAGTGTTTTTTCCCGCCAAATTTACAGGAAGACGTCAAAACGGCCATCTTTTTCCTGATGTCGGCATTTGATAGAGTCCAGGTTTGAATTATCAATCATGTTGAATTCATGAATTGCCCACTCCAACATATAATTCAATTATGAATTTAATAAACTTACGTTCTCGCACTAAATAAGTATCGTTTGTCTTGCAATTTTTTATGTTTATATACAAACTATACTGATAAAAATAGCATTGTATGTGGGTGTGATTAACTGAATTGGTCGTATAATATTTTTTAGAAGTTGTCAAAGTAATACTCCGTATAACTTAAACCCTAATACTTATTGTTTGAAAAATTGATTTGTTATTAATAAAAAATTCAGCCCTTTCACTACTGTTGAGTGTAGCACTTTTTAAGATTGTACGTGTAGACACCTGCCTTTATATGGTTAGTTGTATTCGAATTGTTTTCACTATAAAAATTATAAGATTGACATATTTTTGACACAGATTCACTAAAATTCATACTCCATATAAGATGTGACACTGATATGTTGAATTTGTGCCAAAAACATTTTGACACGAAGTTATTGATTAATTAGTGTCAAATTTGTATCAATGCCGTAATATTTTTATAGTGTTTGGACAATATGTAATTTGATTAATTATACGGAGTACATAAAATTAATTTCACAAAAATAGTAAATTTTGAATTTTTATTATTAAGTTTGATCGAAGCCTGAAAGAAATGGGAAAATGTGAATTAAAACTTTTATACGGACTATATATTACTCAAACAGTTTTAGTTTTAGACTTTTAGAAGTAATATATTCCACAGTTTGAGTGGAATATATTACTACTCAGTACTCACAGAGTCACACCATTCACACAGTGAAATTAATCATCTTCTAGTATAAATTCTTTGTATAACGCTAGCTAACACAGATCTATACTCTTATCTTATACTACGTATTATAAGATTAAACCTTTATACTACTAAAAGGGTAACTTTATTATAAGTCAACGGTCATAGAACCTTTAAAATGGGTTGAAGTCCTCAGTAGTTAACTAGGAAGCAAAAATGTGAATCAAGAAAGAGTTTGAGTTAATTATTTCAATAAAAGTAAAAAGAATGAATAGATTTTTGAATTAGATGATATTTGTGGATATATAGACTAATAATCCTATTTAATTTCAGTTCCTATTTTCTGGAAAAAGTAATATGTGTGTGTGTGGTGATTCTATTTCGAGAAACATGTAGTGTATTTGTCTAACATGTTTCTTATATTTCTATTGCAGATACAGTATACATTGTCAATGGATCTTACTGGTTGCGTTCCTATGGCCAATTGCTCGGCCAATCAAATTAAAGCCTCCCAAGGTTTGGATTAACAATTTTGTTCATCAATTATGTTTAAATTATATATTACTATTAACTAATGTAATAAGTGTATTATTCATAATGGAGTTATATGGGTGCATGCGCGCACATATATAGAGACTTAGATCAAATAATAAATAACTTTCTTATTGTAACAAATGCATTTTTTGTCAATTATATTGCACATTATTCATGAAGCACTGCTAAAAATGCACTTTAAGTATTGATAAAAGTGCATTTTTGAGAAGGGAACACGTGACATTTTTGAAAATAAGTGGCGGAATTTTTTATAAACTTGCAAAAGTGAATTATTTGAATTGAAAAGTGCAATGGAGTATTGCAAAAGTGAATTTTTTGCATTTTGCATGTGAAGATCCATTTGCATTTCATCCACCCTCTATATATAATATGTATGTATGCTATTGATAAGTCATTTAAAATGAGGCTAAAGGGTCAAATAGGCCCTTGAACTGACTTAAAGTGTTCAATTAGCCCCTTATATAAGAAGTTCTGCCCGGCCGTCGCTACTTGGGGCGGTTCCCGATGGAATTTTTTGATGAAATTTTTTGAACATCTTCAGCTAAAAATTCAACCGGGAAGGCAGTCAAATGATTTTCCGAAATGTATTGCGCTGTTTAACTTCGCAGTTACCTTCAAAAAATCATTTGACTGCATGCCTTCCCTGTTGAATTTTTAGCTGAAATTCGGTATGAGTAAACTACACTTAATGAAGACGATGCTAAAAAAATTCATCAAAAAAATCCACCGCGCGCGAACAATCCCAATTGGCAACGGCCGGGCAGAACCTCCTATATAAAGGGCTAATTGAACACTTTAAGTCAGTTCAAAGGCTTATTTGACCCTTTAGCCTTAAAATGATAACCTCATATATTGCGAATATTTTATTTCAACCATTCATTTTGTTTATAGTGGGTTCATCATATGGTGTCTTTTTTGTAATTGTGCAATTCGGATGGATCCTTTCCTTTTTATAATTATTAACTGTAAAATAATACAAAAATGCCCACTTATATTATTCCTAGCCATTAATTAGAAATGTAAAAGTTGAAGATTAAAAGTTCTCATTTATGTACTAGGTATATGTTTTCATGCATTAGAAAGGAGTTACTCGAACTCTCCCCTATAGATAAATATCTACACACTTACGTGTTTAAAATTTTAGATCTTCGATCTGAGCTTCTCACCATTCTACCAAAACGAAGCAAAACCTTCACCAAAGGGTTTCTGATTACTCATCCCTTTGCTCACACTCAAGTAGAAAATGGTACTTGGAACAGCCTAGCTACGGGAACTAATAAGGTATGTTGGAAAGAAATTGAATATATATCTATCTAAAGGATCGGGTGTTTTCATATTTAATAAATTTGATATGATTTTAATTTATAAGTTTTTTTTGGTAGACAATCGCTAGCTTATTTGGAGATTGGTACTTTGAGAGGCAATATGTTGAAGTGATTGACAGTTATCCATGCCCCTACAAATGTCCATAGGCTGCTGCGCTCCTTTTATGATCCATTCACACTCTTTAATGATCCATGCATCTTTAAGTCTTTATCATATGATCTCTTGATGTACCCACTCTTATACTCACCTTATAGCCACCATGTTTGTGAAGTGTTTTTTTGTCTGGAACCCGATTTACAGACAATATTTTGTTTGTGCAAAATATTGTTTGTGAACCGGGATTCACAGACAAAAGAAAAACATTTCACAAACATAGGTGGATACAAAAGTGGGTATAAGAGTGGGTACAAACATCATTTTTGAAATATTTATGTCAGTTGTAATCCTCAGCTGGAAACAAAAATAACTCTTTATTTCACTCTTGCTAACCCGGAAGTATGTCATGATTCCAGTTTATTCTATGGTGTTAAAACTTTAGCTCCTCTCAGTATTATATATGCACACTGATTAATTGGCCGGCTTGTGGACATCCCTAGTTTTTGTTCATAGTAATGGGTTTCAACTTTAAACTATTTTTGTTCATTTAAGATTTTACTCAAACTTTGAAGGTTTTCCCGTAGCCACTTTCGACTAAATAACTTTTGTTCCAATTCACACTAAATAAGTACCAAACAGAATGTAAACTTCTCAAATCTGGGAAGTTCTCACTTAAATCATCATGGAAAAACTGATCTAAGCTATGATGTAGTTTCATAGCCTGAGATCATTTTTTTTCCTTTTAATCACGTTTTACTCCCGAGAATAATCGTATTTTTAGTATTGTTTATGCATTTTACTCATGTAGTTTCAGTACTATTTTCCTGAACCAAAGTATCAAATGTCCCACTAAATCATTGTCAAAGTATATGTCGATCTACAATGTGTTAGACCAATATAATATCTGGAAATTCAAAATCGCCGCAAAAAGTAAGCTTGAGCAGTCATGTATTTTACAGATTGAGCATAAGGCATAACAAAAATGACGACACAGTGCTATCAATATTTCTAGCCTATAATCAAGGAGTTTGTTACTAATTATTACAAGTTGTAACTATGAATAGGCATCTAATATAACAATTTGTATTCTAAGGCCTTGTTTGGAAAATAGCTGATCAGCCAAATTTTAGCTTCTTTGGCTATGTTTGGCATGCCATTTCAGCCAAGAAATGGGATAGATTTTTTTAAGTTCAGCCCAGAAATGAAGAATTAGCATTGTTTGGAGGGAAAACTGTCAAATACGTCCTCGAACTTTGATAAAAAAAAAGTCAATTAAGTCCTTCTATAAGAGACTCTGTCCGGTCGTCGCGATTTGGGGCGGTTCCCGGTGGCATTTATTGATGAAATTTTTTGAGCATCTTATTCACCAAGTCTAGTTTACTCATACCAAATTTCAGCTAAAAATTTAATCGGGAGCGCATTCAAATTAATTCGAGAACGCAAAAATGTGCAGTTATCTTCAAGAATTAATTTGAATGTGTTCCCGATTGCATTTTTAGCTGAAATTTGGTATGAGTAAACTAGACTTGGTGAATAAGATGCTCAAAAAATTTCATCAAAAAATTCGACTGGAACTGCCCCAAATCGCGACGGCCGGACAGAACTTCCTATAGAAGGACTTAATTGACCTTTTTATGAAAGTTCGAGGACATATTTGACAGTTTTCCCTTGTTTGGATGATAGTCTGCATGGAGCTGAATTTGAAAAAAGTAGGCTGAACAAAAACGTTACTCCAGGTAACGTTTGTATTCAGCTAATCTTATATACCGCACACCTGCCTAAAATATGCCTACTTTAGGTGCGTGCAGGGACGGATCCAGGGGGGCGCGACCGCCCCCCTTGGACTTCCAAAATTTTCAACTATATATATAATCTTTTCATAAAATTTTCATACTTTAATTAGGTAAATATGTTTTCGCCCCCTTAACTTTTAGTTTTCAAAATTAATATATAGGTTCACATAATGCAATACTTAATTGGAGATTTAAAAGAAGTAGAATCTAAAATAATTGACATAACTTAAACAAATAAAAAAAAAAAAAAAGAACAACTCATTGTTTAAGACTTAGGGTACCTAAAAATTCTTAGTTTTGTAAGGTTTAATTATCTTTATTAGATTTTCTCAAAAAATAAAATTATCTTTATTAGGTAATTAGTACTCGATTTTGTAAGATATCAAAAGATATTGAATATCAGATACAGTAGTTAAAAAGTATAAATGTTTGTTGACATTAAATTACAAACTTCGCTTACCTCTTACTTTCTAAAAACAATTTGTTGAATAGATAATACTTTAACTTATTTTAGCATTAATACAAATATAATATGCACCATATATATGAATTAACATTACTATGTATCATATTATTCTAAGTATAATAATCTCATACATACTACCGTAATATTAAAAAAACTCATCATGACACACAAATACCCTCCTTGATAGACAAAAATCTTAATTCAAAAACCAATTCTTTATCCTGTTAAGATTCATGTGGTTAAACAAGACATAAGTTACTTAAAAAGCATTGGTTGATGTGTACCTTTAACTTTAACCACTTTACCTTCAAATAATATCATAAAATGTTATCTATCCTTTCTTATTTTCAAATAATTTTCCTTTAATTTGTCATTTCTTAAACTTTAATTTATCAATACTTTTTTTTTGGAGCATTTCTAGTTATTAAATCAAAATTATCTTTTCATTGTCTAAAATTAGAATGAGAATATATTAGATATAATTGTCATCGTGTATGTAGTATGTACTAATGGAACTTTTTAAATTCGCCCCGCTACACTAGCCGCAGAGCCATATACTAGGGAAAAAAAATTCACCCTGCTACACTAGCGATTTTTTTCCGTTCCGCTTACTAGCGAAAATTTTTCAGTCCCTACATTAATGAAAAAAATTTCACCCCCTTGACTCGAAATCCTGGATCCGTCCCTGGGTGCGTGCAACACCACAAAATTCAATTGAAAATTGAGGATACCCATATAGACCGAGGTAGAAAGTTACAGATGCAATCGGACAATTATGGTGGCGGAGGCTGAGGTGCCGGTGATCTGGGTCTATTCTCCGGCAGCGGGGAAATTAAAAAGCTCCTGAAGCCAGCAACTTCATGTGACGGCACAGCTCTGTGGTTGAATTTGTTTCACCTACTAACTAAGAGGTGTAATTCAGAATTATAGTTTAGAATGAAGTGGGGGTGGGGGGGACAAAGAACAGAACACTATAGCACGATTATCGAAATTTTATTTTCTAATAAGAATCAATACAGAGCATTGTTTGAATTTTATATATTTTCTTTGTGTTTTGCATTTCGGATAATACTACGTATCACTTAAAGTGCAGGGTTTTGAAAAAAAAAATACTTCGTATATTATACTACGTGCATACATACCACGTAGTATAATCTTAACATTTATTAAAATATAAAATTCATTATAATAATTTTTGGAATAATATGTATATGCTCTTTAATTTAATTTTAAATTTTCTTGTCACCGTATAACTCTTTTTGTCAAACGGATATACTTCATTCAGCTTGCAGTTCAGATTTAGCACTTCATAATTCAGTTCCAGACAATACTCTTTAATTCAGACAACAACTCTCAATTCGATCAGACATATTTACAATAGCGTCAATCTTGGCTTGTTCTATCTCAATGCCTTTGTGACAAACAATGAACCCTAGGAATTTCCCAGCTGAAACTGTGAAAGCACACTTCAGAGGGTTCATTTTGAGACCAAACTTTCTCAGGCGATCAAACACTATTCTCAAGTGTGATAGATGTTCATTTCGGGTCTTTGACTTTACCACGAGATCATCAACATAGCACTCCACGATTTTGTGGAGAATATCATCAAATATTGCCTGCATAGCCCGTTGATAAGTAGCTCCGGCATTCCTAAGTCCAAATGGCATGACCGTGTAGCAATAGATTCCCTAGGAGTTCGGAACGCAGTCAATTCTTCGTCCGCTGGAGCCATACGGATCTGATTATAACCAGAGAATCCATCCATAAATGACATAATCTCATGCCTAGACACAACATCTATCATCAATTCAATGATAGGAAGTGGAAAGTCATCTTTCGGGCAAGCAAGGTTAAGATCCCGAAAATTAACACATATTCAAATCTGTCCATTTTTCTTTCTGAACGGGACAATGTTGGCTATCCAAGTAGGATATTTTGCTTCTCGAATGAATCCGACTTCAATAAGTTTATCCACCTCTACTTCGATTAATGGGATCAAATCTGGACGGAAGCGTCTTTGAGCTTGCTTTACAGGTCGACACCCTTTCTTTATTGCTAAGTGATGAACAACGACCTTTGGGTCTAATCCCGTCATTTCTTTGTATGTCCATGCAAAGACATCCTTTGTAATACCCCGAAAATTTGAGAGAATTTGAGAAGTAATTAAAATTGTGTTTTGTATCGTTTAGATGGTCTTGGGATAGTTTACTATGGTTGGTTTTATGTTTCGAACCAAGGAGAGGTGCAAACGGGGAAGAAACGGAGCAAAAACTAAGGTTTGGGGCGTCTGGGGGTCACGCATGGCGTGCGTGGGGTCACACACGGCGTGCGTGACATGAAATTTGAGCGTAATAGCTACTACCAGCCATGCACGGTCGTGTGCGGAGGCACGCACGGTCATGCGTCCCTGATTTGTCCTAGTTCGACCAAACTTCGGAAATTCACTATAAATACATTCCTAATCCGATTTTCCTCATTCCAAAAACCCTAGAACCGCCTCTTCAAGCTCTATCTCTTCCAGAACTTTAATATTAACATATCCAACACGATTTTTGAGTCCAAGGACGAGATCAAACGATCCAATCTCCCGGGACGTGTGAGTGACTCCTCAAGCTAGGTTTGAAGTTTAGGATTCGTTGCTAGCCTCGAGGTAAGGAGTATTGCAACCAAAACTACTCTTTTGCCCCTATTATGTATTAATTAGGGTTTGAGATATGATTTGAGATTTTCTATGAAATATTGTGTGTGATTCGGATATGATGGACTTGTTTGAGTATGATATGATTTTCTGGGAATTTTGGAATGTGTGAATTTTGAGTAATTAATTATTTTAATTACTATAGTCGAAATTGTGAATTGTGTGAAATTGCCATACTTGTGATTGTGGAGATTATTTTAAATGTATAATTTGATGTGAATATTTACATATATATTATGGAGTTAGAACTACCCTTATTGGATTATTTTGAACATGAAATTAAATACTATTTTGGAACTAGCTTTAGGGAAACCCCTAATTTGAGAACTATGACTTTGAACTTGATATGCTATGCACCGTTGCTTTGAGATAAGAATTTGATTGAGATTTTTGAGAAAGTATTTGAGGCCGAGATCAAACTATTTTGACAAGAACTATGAACAACAATTTCATGATTGAGACTTGTGAGTGTCCCGCAGAGAAACCCGGGATGCTAGTGAGTTAGGGCTACTACTACCTTGTGTGAATT